TAAAAAAAAAAAAAAAAAAAAAAAAAAATTTGAATTTATATAATTTTATTTATTATTTATGAAATCACATATCTAGTTGGATCTAGAAATGGAACTCATTTCATCAGGTATGGAATAGCCATTTTTGAGAGTCTGCATACAGATATGCAGAGGTTTTTGTTGTATTCAAACTTGTATATTTATAAGCGAAATATTTACAGAAAAATCTTCATTGATAAATCGTATCGCAATTTAAAGACAAGGGTTTGTTCATTGTAACAAATAGCGAAAGAGAAAAGAATTAAAATCGGTCTGTACAGAACAGCTGTGATATCATCATTAAAACGCCCCCTATCGAACAATTAGGAAATCATATTTTTTTTATATACCGAACAAAGATGATATCATTGTACTATAAATAGCTATAACAAACGTTCATGACATCATAATCTAAACCTCTCTATACCGAATAATGGAATATACATTACTGTAAATAGCTATATCGAACGTTCATGATATCATAATCGAAACCTCTATATATCTGACAATAGTGTTAATTACTATAAAAAAAAGTTAAACCGAATGCTTATGAGGACATTCTCATGATCCCTCTATACCGGACGATAATGAGATCATAATGACAACTAATATACAGCACAATGGTGTGATCGTGATATCAATAGCTAGAGCAGGTGTTTATTAGATCATAATAGAAACCTCTCTTCACCGTACAATAGTGTGATCACTACTATAGACAATTGTTCATGAGATCTTATTCAATACCTTTTATATCGGATTAATGTGTGTTCAGCTATATCGAACGCTCACGAAAAATCATTAAAGAAGCCTCTTAATACCGGATAATTATCAATTACTATAAATAGTTCTACTGAGTGTTCATGAGATCATAATCATAATCCCTCTATACCGGAGGATAATGAGATCATAAAAGCAACTTATATACTAAACAAATGTTCATTAGATCAAAAGGGAAACCTCTCTATACCGGACAATTTTGTGTTCATTACTATGAATAATGATACCGAACGTTCATGAGAAAATAATCGAAACCTTTCTATACTGGACAATGGTATGTTCATTACTATAAAACTATATCGAACCTTCATGAGATCAGGATAGAAACCTCTCTACACCGGACGATATGTGATCATTACTATAAACAATGTCCATAAGATCATAATCAGAACTTCTCTATATCGGACAATGGTGAATTCATCGCTATAAATAGATATAACGGACGTTCATGTGATCAAAATCGAAACCTCTCTACACAGGATTAGTGTGTCTATTGATATAAATAGCTACATTGTATATCGAACGTTCCTGACATCGTTATAGAAATTTCTCTATACCAGATAATGGCGGGATCACTATAAATAGCTACATTGTATATCGAACGTTCATGGGATCATTTGAGAAACCTCTCTATACCGGATAATGGCGTATGCATTACTATAAATAGCTATAACAAACGTTCCTGAAATCTTAATAGAAACCTCTCTATCATGGATAATGGTGTAAACAATTTTATGAACCGTGCATATGGCCGTGCTGATACATAACAAACATGGAGTTTGGGATCTGTCCGTTACGGCACCTGGGCGAGACATCGTGCTAAAAGTGCTGCGTTCGCAACACGATTTCTCACCCCTGCACGATATATATATATTTCACCCGGGTGAGAAATCGTGCAAAAAATATTGGCATAGGCGACACATTTTCTCACCGGCACGATTTCTCAGCCAGCTCTATCTCAATTGGGGATGGATTTTGTCCGTGGTGTTTTAAAACTTGCCTAAATGTACTTGATGAGCCGACATGACTTCAAATTAGTCGTAGTTCATTGTACATGTCTAATATTTATTGATTGATTTATCTATCAATCTATTCATTCATTCATATATTTTTAATTAATTTATTGCTTTTTACGGAAAGTCTATCTAAACCCCTAAAAAAATAAAAAATACATTTTATAACTACTTGTTTCTATGCCATTGCTATTGGACTAAAGTTTCAAGGTTTTGTCCATATAGATAAATGCACTTCTGGTCTTAATAGCATATACAAGTGTTTTTGTTATATAATGTTGTTTTAAAACATTTAACATGCAAGACTACCTTAAAAGTAAGTCAAAAGTGTTCCGCAACCGTTCAAGGTATCTGCTGGTTAAATATTAAGACTACATGGCACAGGTGGTACATACAATTAGTTGATAGATTACTGACGTACGATACCACAGCATAGCATTACAGACACTTAGAGGTAGGAGAGTAAAATATTTGATATACAATAAAACAAAGTAACTTGAAACTGAATAAAAAGACCACAATAGGATCTGAGAAGAGACATAAACAAACCAGTATTTAAAAATGACTGAGATTGTGATAGGTGGTGCAGAACGTTAAACGCATTTTATGTAATACCTGTCGTAATGTCTGTCACCTTGTCTGTCACAATGCACGTACCTTCTTAAACACGTTCAAACGCAATCCGGTTCACCTAAATTGATCCGTTACGATACTTCCACACGGATTCCGACATCAGTATCGTTCGAGAATATACATGTCATCAAGCCAACAACAGCTGGTCACTGAATGTAGTCAGTTAACGTTATTCCTCTGAATTTAGTGTCCTTAAATTTTCGCCCGGTTCCCGAATGCCCCGTGGTATAATGAAAATCTCCTATTAGAAAAACAGAACTGTAGAAAAGCAGAGAGACAGTGGCGACGGACCAAATTAACCGTTCACCAACATATTTATAGGGAACAATGTCGACTAGTTGGTTCACTTTTCATTCAGTCAAAGAAGGCTTATTATTCGGAAAGAATTGAAGAATGTGGTAAGGATCATAGACAGCTTTTTAGACTCAACAAAACCCTTGTTGGTTAGAAAGGTTTAATTATCCTACCAAGCTGTAATTTTGAAAAAGACTTGTAAAACAAGTTCAGCGATTACTTTCTAAATACAATCAGCTCGATCAGGAAAAATATAGTGGAAGTTAACTCTACTGCTGACAATGATATCTCTGTCATGACTGCCGACATTAAAGGTAGGGTCAATGCCTATGGCGATTTACCATTAGCGTCGGCCACCGCTTGGATTTTCAAAACAAGATAAATCCAAAAAGGTACGGGTATAGGACGCTTAAATCAGGAACGGTTAGTTTCAGAATTCATTTTATGTTCAATGGGACCTCATTGACTTACACCTGTATGGGTGTTAAAGGTGCGATTATACAATTCTTCCT